TGCCAAAACCATTCTTTAAATAAGAAGTTTCTAAGTCTTATAGTTTGTTGGCGGAATGGGGACAGTAAGGATATGAGATTGCATTTGCTGAACCACATACTGAAATTACAGGGGTCTTGTTTTGGTGGTTTCTCAGGAGAGGCTGCTGTCTGGTGATCTGCCAGGTAGCAGACAATAGAAAATCTGATTGATAATAGTTTTTGATTGTCTGTTTGGAAACTTGTATTTCTGTCATCTCCTTGCATTCTCTGTGCTCTTTGATGTGTTTGCTTGCCACTAAGAGTGCAAAGATTGTGTGTATGTGCACGCGTGTGTGTGCTGGAGCTGCTGGACTGGTGTTTTTAAATTTAATATTTCCTTTTGACCCTTGGTTGATGTTGTAAAACCTAAGCTTGTAGTTCTTTTTGTATGGGTGAACGTTTTAAAAGGGAGTACAAAAGGGGCACCTCGGTGGTTCAGTCAGTTAAACGTCCGACTCTTGGTTTTGGCTCAGGTCGTGACCTCATGGTCGTGGAATCAAACCCTATGTTGGGCTCCATGCTCAGTGTGGAGTCTGAGGTTCTCTCTCCCTCTCCCTCTGCCCCTGCTGATCCTTCTCTCTTTCTCTCTCTCTGAAATAAGTAAATGAATCTTTAAAAGGTAGTACAAGAGAGAAAAAAGATTTCCTCACAAAAGATAATCATCTTTTACAAAGGCTTGCTTGTCAATAACCCTTTCTGTATCTCTTTCTTTCAATTTGAGGGGAAAGCTCCATGTGCAACAATAAAGGGTTATTAAATCTTAAAAGCTATGCCCCTTACTTCAGCCACAATCTGCCCAGACAAGCTTTACAGCTAAGGACATGTAACAAAATAGTTAAGAGTTAATCCAGCTATTAACTCCTCTTTAGGGTCCCCTCTTGCCTGAGAACCTTGCCAGGTCTTCTGGAAGGAACATCAAAAGAACCACAGTCGAGGACTGTAGCATAGATACAGAATAGACTGACATTGACAACATAAACTGCTGTCAACCTGTACTAAAGGACTGGGGTAGGATTTGCAGAGTCTTTAGTCTAGAAGCAGACAAATGCTACAAAACCTACTTTAGATTTAATTATGGGTAATATTCTACTTTTAGTGAGCATATCGAAAATCTTTTTCCTTCATCTCTAACCATCAATTTTACTGCCATACTTGTTCAAACTGGAATGAGACGTCCTTTAAATAGTATCTTGTACTAACTGACCCCTTGGAATTTAGAATAAGCAATCCCATAGAGTATAAAGTAGGTCATAAGCTAACAATGAAAACATATAATAAAGATTATGTTATGATTAATGATATATCTTGGTTAGTCTTATCTACAAAACTGCTCAGAATAATGGTAACATTGGTTAAATATTATACAAAGTGTGTTTACCCAGTTCTCTTCTTTCATAACTATAATTTTTTTCCCCACAGCTTCAATAAGAATCTGTTTTCTTTTTTTACCAGGTTATAATTGGATAAATCAATTTGCAACCATGATCATGATGAAGATGTCATTTAAGTATGATAAGAGCTTTATCAAAGAACAAGGTGGTATGTTTCCTTTTTTTTTTTTTTTGAGTTTTGAGACTTCTTTATATATTCTGGTTAAAAACTATCTGTCAATAATGTGACTTACAAAATTATTTTCCAATCTATGGCTTGGCTTTTCTTTATCTTAACAATGTCTTCAGCAGAGCAAAAAGTGTTAATTTTGATGAGGTTTAGTTCACTTTTTTTTTTTTCTTTTTTGGATTGTGCTTTTGGTGTCTTATATAAGAACTTTTTAAAAAAAAACCACAGCTTTATATTTCAAAACACAGATATATTTCACATAGCATAACATTCTCCCTTTTAAACTACATAATTCAGCAGTTCTTAGTATATTTACAGACTTGTGCAACCATCACTGTTTTAGAGCATTTCATCACTCCAAAAAGAAACCCCATACCTATTAGCAGTCATTTTCTGCATCCCCATCCCCACCCTCTGTCCCAACCTCCAGCCCCTGGCAACCACTAATTTACTTCTGTCTCTGTAGCTCTGCCTATTCCAGGCCTTTTGTATAAATGGAATTATACAATATGTGGCCATTAGTGACTGGATGCTTTTATTAAGCATCATATTTTCAAGATTCATTCATGTTGTAGCATGTATCAATACTTCATTCCCTTTTGTAACTGAATAATATTCCATTGCATGCATATGCCACATTTTGTTTGTCCAGTCATCAGCTGATGGCCATTTGGGTTACTTCCACTTCCTGGCTATTAGGAATAATGCTGTTACGGACATTCATGTAGAAGTGTTTGTGTGAGCATATGTTTTCAGTTCTCTTGGGTATATACCTGGGAGGAGAATTGCTGGGTCATATGGTAACTCCAAGTTTAAATTTTTTGAAGATCTGTCAAACTGTCTTACCAAGTGGCTGCACCATTTTGCATTCCCATCAGTAATGTAGGAGGGTTCCAATATTTCCACATTCTCTTCAACATTTGTTATTGTACAATTTTGGGTTACAGCCATCCTACTGGGTGTGAAGTGGTAACTCACTGTGGTTTTGATTTGCATTTCCTTGATGACTAATGATACTGATCATCTTTTCATGTCCATTTTTTGGGTCCATTTGTTTATCTTCTTTGGAGAAATGTCTATTCAAGTCCTTTGCCCATTTTTAAATTGGGTTGTCTTTTTATGTTGAGTTATAAGAGTTCTTTCCATATTCTAGATAATAAATGCTGATGTATGACTTGCAAACATTTCCTCCCATTCTGTGGCTTGTCTTTATACTTTCTTGATAGTATCCTTTGATACACAAAATCATAAAAATTTTTATGAAGTCAAACTTATTAATTTTTTTTCATTCCTTGAGCTTTTGGTGCCATATCTAAGAAATCATTGTCTAATCGAAGGTCACAAAAATATACACCTATGTTGTGTTCTTCTGAGTGTCTTATGGTTTTACTCTTACATTTAAGTTTTTGATCCATTTTGAAAAACTAGTATAAGGTACAAATCAAGTTTCTCTCTCTCTCTCTCTTTTTTTTTTGCATATGGATATCTAATTCTTCTGGCACTAATTGGCAAAAAGACTATCTTTCCTCCATTGAATTGTTTTGCAACTTCGTAAAAAAAAAAAAAAATCAATTGGCTCCACTCCTTAAATGAAGACTGCACATATTGTCTTCCTTCCAAAGAGTACAATATGGAAAGGGGGAACAGTACTTTTAAAGTATATAAAGTAATAAGTTACAAATAGTACTTTGGCCAGGGGGCCACAGTTAAAATCAACACTAAGTCATGTGGTTGGTGTACATATGATGGGATGATATGGCACTTTATCTCTATAATCTTCCTTCCCCCAATCCATATCCCCAGTCTAATCAGAAGAAATACATCAGACAAATTCCAGTTGAAGAATATTATACAAGATACCTGACCAGCATTCCTCAGAACTGTCAAGGTTGTTACAAACAAGAGGAGGCTAAGGAAACACAGCGACTTAAATGTAATGTTGTATCCTGAATGGGATTCTGGAACAGAAAAAGGACTTTAGGTAATAACTAATGAAATCTGAATAAAGCATGGTTTTAAATTAATAATGTATTGATATTGGTTCATTAATTTTCATAAATGTACCCACCTTACATTTAATAAATGTAAAATATTAATCATAGAGGAAACTGAGTGTGGAATCTATGGGAACTCTCTGAACTATCTTTGTATTTTTCTGATAAACTGTTCGAAAAAATAAAATTGATTTAAAAATATCAATTGCCTTTATTTGTGTGTATCTGTTTCTCAACTCTACCTGTCCCATGGATCTGTGTATCTAAATTTTCCCGTATAACCCACTCTCTCTTTTTTTCAGCTTTATTGAGAGGCATAGTTGACAACTACAATTGTAATATATTTAAAGTGTATGACATGATGATTTGATATATACATTGTGAGAGGATTCTCTCCACCAAGTTAATTAACACATCTATCACCTCACTGATTTCTTTTTTTTTTAAGTGTTCTCTCCACTACTGTCCTTTTGACCAATGTAAGTCATATGGGCAAGGCCATCGTCAAAGTAGAAAGGGACTACAAAGTTACATGGCAAAGCTTATGGATATAGGGCGGCCATTAATTAGGGCCCTTAATGCAGTCAGTCTACCATGGATCTGAAGCCATTCTGACTCCTAACACTTTTTGTAGAAGATCTGTTTTATCTCTTCAAAAATGTATCTGAAATTCAGAGATTAGAGTTGGTGTACATCTATTCTCATTCACCGTTGGGCACTTGGTGGGTACTTTCAATAAGTAAATCAGGTCTTATAGTTCTGGACAATTTTGCTGGTTTTATTGATTCTGTGCCCTCTCTTTTTTCTATTCTCTCTTTTTGGAACTCCTGTTTGAATTTTGATTTCTTGGACCATTCTTCTTATTTTCTTATATTTTCTTACCTATTTTCCATTTCTCTGACTTTTTGTCCTACTTTCTGGGAGATCTTCATTTTGTAACTGTTCTAGTGAATATTTTTCTTTCTATATTTTTAACTTCTTAGAATTCTTTTTTGCTCTGATTATTCCTTTTTATGGTATACTTTTCCTAGTTCACATTGCAATATCATTTAACTTCTCTTATCTATTTGAAAACCTTACTTTTCTTCCTGAGAAGCTGTCTTCTCTATGTTTATTCTCCCTTTACTCCAAGTTGCTTTTTATTGTTTTTTTGTTGTTGTTGTTTTAAAGATTTTATTTATTTATTAGAGAGAGAGAAAGAGAGCGATCACAAGCAGGGGAGAAGGGTAGAGGGAGAAGCAGACTCCCCACTGAGCAGGGAGCCTGACGCGGGGCTCCATCCCAGGACTCCGGGATCATGACCTGAGCTGAAGGCAGATGCTTAACCGACTGAGCCGCCCAGGTGCCCCATTGTTTTTGTTTTTAATGTTAGAAGCTGTATTCATTTTTTAGGGCTGCTGTAACAAATTACCATAAACTGAGTGGCTTAAAACAACAGAAATTTATTCTCTCACAGTTCAGGAGGCCAGAAGCCCAAAATCAAAATGTCGACATGGTTGGTTCCTTCTGGAGATTCTGAAGGAGAAGCTATCCCATGTTTCTCTCCCAGCTTCTGGTGGTTGCCAGGAATCCCTGGTGTTTCTTGGCTTTTGGCAGCATGACTCCAACCTCTTCCTCCTTCACATGGCCATCTTCCTTCTGTATGAGTCTATGTCTTTGTGTCCAAAGTTTCTTTTTCTTGTAAGGATCCTAGTCACTGGATTAGGTTTAACTGTAGTCTGGCATAAACTCACTTTAACTTGACTATATTAGCAAAGACCCTATTTCCAAATAAGGTCACATTCTGAGGTTCCAGGTGGAATTTGTAGGGGAGGGTGGCTGTAGAAGCCACTAGTCAACATAGTACAGAAGTTTCCTTAGATGTGTGTTAATTCTTCATTGTCTCTCTGTTCCAGATGTCTTTTGCTGTGTAAAAAGTGACCCCAAATTTAGTGGTATAAAACAACAAACATGCTATTTTAATATTCTACAGAAATTGTGAGATAATAATAAATGTGGATTGCCACTAGGTTTGTGGTAATGTTACACAGCAAGAAATGACTAATACATAACCATTGTGAAATTAGATTCTGTGTCTTTTAATTTAATTGTATGGAAGAAACTTTGATATTGGAGAGAGTTATACTTCGTCATGCTGGGAGACAGTTCTGCTTGCCTTTCAAGGGGGCAGTCTGCCCTTGTTCCTTTGGTAGGAAACCTTAGAAGATAGAAATAGTGTCTGTCTCTGGAGTAAAGGGCAGGTTTGTTTATAGCCTTTGAAGACAGAGATTGTGTCTCCTTTTGAGCAAAGGGCAGACGTTCTTACTGCTCATTACTAAAGGTTTTTCTAACCTCACTGTTCCTTTCCTGTGATGGAACCCAATGTGTATGCAGATGTCATGTGGCCTTCTTCACATCACTCTGTGGGAACTGGGGCTCAGGGTACTGGTTGGTACAATAACGCTGCTACTGCTGTAAGTAATACATTATCCTTCATCTCTGACCCAGGGTTTTTCTGGCTTCTACCGGCATTCATGGACCTGTGGCAGGCAGATACAGTAAAATTTCAAACCCCTCAGAGTTCTTGAAAAGCTATAGAGAATGATGTACGGCACATTTTACCTGTGGGAATTGGAAAGCATTTTTTTTTTTTTTTTTTTTGCAGAGGCGGAAATGTAAAGACTGTACAAAAATTACCTCCGAACCTATTAACGAGGCAAGTGAGAATTCAAGCTGCGTAGTTCTTCTTTCTCAGCATGTGGTGTTACTGCTTCTCAACCAACCTCAACTACTCACCCTTACTTGGTAAAGTCTCTATACCTGGGATTGGTTAGGCATGAATGATGGCTAAGAATACCTTGATCGTGGAGGGATTTTAGAGGGCACTACCTTAATTGTTGCTTGTTACGTTACGGGAACTGTCATCCCATCCACAGAATGACTGCTTGCTGCCATTTGTACCTAAGGTCCCCATTCTGTACCATACAATAACATATTCACTGTACTATGAAGTAGTCCATTACCGTCACCATTTCAAGTCTTGTGGCCTACTAATTTAGCGATTATAGTAATAGCAAAGAGAACCAGAGACCTAAAATAGTAAAGGATTGCTGGTTAAAATCAGAATTGGGAAGCAAGAACTTGATATAAAATGTACTAACCAAACTAACCTGAGTTGCCTTTGAAAAAAAAAAGATGGTTGAACACAATCTTTTATTTAGTTTCCATATGCGACCTACTCTCAATTTAATCTCTAATTATAGTTTTCTAAGATTGTTGTGTTTTTCCTGGGGGAAATGAGTTATTATTTGAAAAGGTAGCATTTAAATTGTGTAATCAAAAAATTGTAAACCTTGTGTTTGATAAAGAAAAATTTTAGATCAGAAATATGAACTCTGTCTTTAAGATGGGACAAGCTTTGATTAAATGAATAAAACCCCTAATTTCCTAGGTTTTTAGGCTTCCTGTTTGCTCAATGCAATTCAAAAATTGTTCCAGATCTTGCAACTGTTTTTTGCAAATACGTTGTGAGACATAAAGTTGGACCAGCCGGGCTAGTCATATGTTTGAAATGGAGAAGGCATTGTGTTTTATATGCTGTGGGGTTCACTTCCCTGAACTGTCCCAATACCCAAGGTCCAAGAAGGTAAGGGTTTGCTCAGCTGTGTATAAAGCCTGCCTTTTCGCATTTCAAATATGACCAGTAGTCTCAAAACTGAATACATTCAGAAAACATTATGTGATAGCTCATTAATTGTACCTCTTGTTATTCACTTACCATGTAAATGAACTGGTAACTGTCCCTGACTTTTTGGGTCCTTTTTCTTCAACCCTATAAAAATCAAGCATGATTTCAGGCATTTGAGAAGCAGCTTGTTTTCCCTGTCTCTCCTCTGCAGTAGTTAAAATACAGAAAACTTGGCTTTAACCAAAGTTCTTTTGTAGTTTCTGAGACTATGAAGTTGTCAAGTACTGGAGGTGGGATGGGGTCAGCTGTGGGCCCAGTGTAGGCCTGGTAGAGACTCAGATATAGAGCTCTGGGTAGGCCCAGAGAGGAAAGGGAGAGGGGAGGGAGCAGCAAGGGCTCAGAAGAGAGGAAGAACCTGGCATACATTTCACTCTCAGCTAAAATGGGTAGTCTAAGGCCTTATACTTATTAGACAATAATGGAGACAATAGTGGGCTGCTTCTGAGAAGGCCCCCAATGCTCCGTGCTTCTTTATATAATCCTCTCTCACCCCTGAATGTGACTTCCTTCTAACCCCCAAAGGTGAGGAGATGCCACTTTTGTGGGTAGACTATCTAAGATTGTGACTGACTTCTTGCGAGTAAACGCTATTGCCTTCTCGGCTTGCATGCTTTGATGATATTGGGGAACCCCATGTGGCAAGGAACCGTGGGTGGCCTCTAGTGCTGAGGACAGCCTCTTGCTGACAGCCAGCAAAATGCTGAAGCCTTAGTCCTATAACCACAAGAAATTGAATTCTGAGTGAGCCTGAGAACGGAACTTTCCCCAACAGAGCCTTGGATGAGACCATACTCCAAATAACACCTTTATTGCAGCCTTGTGAGACCCTAAGCAGAAGACCCAGCTAGGCCGGTCCTCCTGACCCACCAAAATTGTGACATAATAAATATATGTTATTCTAACCCACACATTTTGTGGTAATATTGTTATGTAGCAATAGCTACTAAGGCAGAGACTTGTATATTTTGTCACAAATAGATTAAAAGTGACAAATAGGGATTTTATTCAAGTTTTTTGGCACACCAATTACATATGGAGAATTTTGCTAATTACTGGATAAGTACACCAACAGAAGAGGTCTACTTTATAATACTGGATATACGTGTATCTGTATCCCAAATGCAATCTCAGGAGGCCTACAGGTAATCCATGCTTGCTTGGAGGACATGGCAGAAATGCAGCGAGTTGGTTGCCTGTAGGAGTCTATACCAGGGCTTCTGTGTTCTGAGCCAAGGGATGCCTCAAATGCTAGCAGAAGAGAATGGGAGGATGATGGAGATAACAGGAGATGACTGTTCTCTGAAACCCTTGGATTTGTGGTCTGGACCCCCATGAGCAGAGGTTAGTGGCAGAAGCTAGAAGATTTGCTTTCTTAAGAGACTTTATCAGACCATGAGAGCAAGCAGTGCTGTTACTGACACTGGAGTGCTGCAGTGGGAGAGAATGATGTGTTTGGCCACTCTGCAGGGAACACAGCCCTGCTCTGGTACCTGAGGCTGGATGGTCTTTGGGAGTATTGGAGGGGCAATGTCAACATTGCCCTTGGTGTCCTCACAGAGGACATCGTGGGCTGAGGCCGCAGAGAAGCATCTTGAGAGAATTTGTGAGTAGCAGGGGAACACTCAGGATGGAGAGCTGAGTTGAATCCTTTCAGTGACTCTGCTTTACACATTGGGTAACTAGCAGCATAAGAAACTCTTTATGGGTTGTGCTGCCTGTGTTCCTTAAAAGACAGAGCTGGGGGCAAGTGTGATGAGTGCTGATGTCCAAGCTGGAGACAAGGAAGGAAAGGGGAAAGGAAGCAGGAAGGATGAGAAGTACTGTACTGGTGCTGCGTCAGTCACAGAGGCTGCCAAAACATCACGAGTCTGCTTGACAGCTGGCCCCCTCAGCCACGCACATCTCCTGACAGGTGGTGTAGAGAAACCATGCCTTTCAATAGTCCACCTGGGGTAGAAGAAAAGGGAATTTCTTTGTCTGGCTCCTTCTGGCCTTGTTCCTGCTGGTCAATTTGCGTTGATCAAAATTTGTTCCCCGTATCAGGCCATGGAAGTCGGGATAGTTTGGTTTCAGGCAAATGACTATAGTGAAAGGCCTTCTTAACGAGTCTCTGGCTTAGTCCATTTGGGCTGCCATAACAAAAATACCATAAACTGCCTGGCTTAAAAACAACAAACATTTATTTCTCACAGTTCTGGAGTCTGGGATGTCCAAGAGCAGGGTGCTGCAGATTGAGTGTCTGGTGACACCTGCTGTCTGCTTCATTGATAGCTGTCTTTTGCTGTGTTCTCACTTGGTGGCAGGGGCAGGGAGTTCTGTGGGGTCTCTTTTAGAAGTACACTAATCCCATTCATGAAGGCTCCACCCTTATGATCTAAGCCCCTCCTAAAGGTCCCATTTCCTAATACCATCCTGTGGGGTATTGGGTTTCCACATATGAGTTTTGGCGGGACACAAACATTCAGCCCTCAGCAGCCCCTTTCCTGTTGGAGTGAAGAATTCTGAGAAGAGGCATTTGAGCTAAACCCTGAAGCTGACATTCCAAATAAAAGGAAGAGAATGAACCAAGATACCAGGGCGACGAAGCGCAAAACGTGTTAGGGGAATCCCAGTGGACATAAAGTTTCAGCCAACTTTACATTTCTGGATAAAAGAACTTGAACTTTATTTTTTAGGCAATAGGACGCTTATCAATACTTTTAACCTAGAGATACCATGCAATGGGAGATTAGAGCTCAAGAAAGTTTTCTAGTTTCTTGTGGTATTGTACAGTTGAATCCACAGACACAGAAGGAGGGATAAAGCTGGGTTCTTAACCTGGGTCTATGAACCTTAGGGGAAGTGTCTGTGAAGCTCGTAACTTGCACGCTACGTTTTTGTGGGGGCCTCCATAACTTTCATCAACTTTTCAAAGGGCCCGGAACCCAAAAAGTTAAAGTGCCCTGCCAAAGAGAGAAAATCAGCACGTCCCTTTCTGTCCCAAGCCTGGAAGTACATACCTCCCGTTTGGGGGTCAGGAGACTGGAGTGAAAACTAGCCCGAATATCTCCTAATTCAGAGTTAAGAGGCAGTTCAAGTTGTAATGACATGACCGGAGAAGATCTGGACGCCAGGGGGGAGCCATCACGGTACACACTGCAGCAGAGGCAGGCCGGCTTTGGAGATCCGCGCTGCGCTAAGGGAGGTTGACGTGCTCTGCAAATCCTGCCCCGCGCTTTCTTCCCGCAGCTGCGCAGGCGCTAGGACCGAGGTAGTGCCGCGCGCCTCCCGCGACGCCCCACCCTGCCCCGCCCCTGCGCGAGGCAGGACGGGAAAGCCAAGATGGACGCGTTCATTTGAACATCTCGCCTGAGTGGCTTCCCAGCACTCCTGCCAGTCGATCGCAGTCCAGCCAACAGCTGCTGCCCATTCTTCCTCCGGAATAGGGGAGGGAGAGGGAATGAGAAGCTGCAGCGGCAGAGGAGTCACCCTGACCGACCCCGCCGCTGCTCTCGGGCCCCCTCGGCCCCACGCCTCCGGGGAGCAGCCGGGGCTCGCCGCGCCTGACGCGTCCCGAGTTACACAGGTGCGGGCCCGGGCCCGCAGCGTCCGGTGGTTCACCGCATGTCCTGTGACCCTCGCACCCGCTCCGAGTTGACTTGCGTTCGGTGACCGGAGGGCTGGGAGCCCAGGGGTAGGCCCTGAGCGCGCGTTTGCGCCAGGTGGCCCCCGGCCTGCGGACTGGGCTTTCCGGGGTGCACCTCCCCGCGCCGCTCCTCGCCGACTTCCTTCCTGAGCTAGACGCGGTGTCCCGTGTGGGCCTCAGCTTCTATATCGGCCCCTTGTTTCTCGCACAGGATTTTTTGAGGCCCAGGCGCTTAGCTTGTTGGTTTCACCTAACCCTGAAGAGGCTGAGGAAACTCTTGCCTTTTTGCGGAGACTCTACGCAAGATGCCTTTCCTGTGCATTTGGGTCTCTTCTTAAAGCAATTTTGTGGTTAACTTGGCAGGGTAGTTTTTCTTTATCGTAAACAATGCCGATAACTTGATTTATAGCTTATCAATGTAGTATAGTACTTTTATATGTAGCTTTTTATGTTGTCCTAATAAACACATAGCAATTTGGGGTACTGTAAAACTATTAAATATGTTTTAATCGTACACAAAGATACTGCACTGTTAAAATAATTATGTAATAATGTAATTTTCTCAAAGTTTTAATAGAATAACATTTCGAAATTGCACAACTGAAGTTGGATAAAGTCGCAAGTTTAATGCTGGCTATCCTGTTGACTAGGAAATAGGAAGACCAGCAGAGTTTTGTTGTTTTCTTGTAAGTTTTATAAGGCACGTTATTAGTTATGTCCTAAGTTCACCTGTTCTCAATTCTGAATTTTAGCAGGAGGAAATAAGTGCCACCATTGTGACATACAGTTGTCTCAGGAATAATGTTAATTCACAGCAAAATAGCTTTGCAACTCTGGTTGTTGCATAGGAACTACAGAGGCTTTGAGATAGTGCAGCAAGGAAAATTACTGATGCCAAAAAAACGTCAAATGAGAAATCTAAATCAAATTTAATTAAACTCTTAATTGTGAGTGCTTTTCGGATACTAAAGGTTGTCTGTAGTGCTGACATCAAATGTTTGTTTTGATTTCTGTGTTCGAGGATTGCAGTTTAAATGTGATGCCACAAAACCTATTTCTAATGTAGATGTTGTCTCAGAGACAGAACCGGCATCCACTTTACCACATTGCAGAGTATCAGAATTTTATAAGCTGTCAATTACTGTATATAGAAATGTTTTGGAGGTAGAGAGGTATTTTTCCACCCACAGCTCATCTACATCTAATGAACTGTACTGTAATAGATTGTGTTAATTAAAAGCTAGCACTCTTAAATTTGCTACAAGCATGACTATTCCATGGCCAGGGTTATTCATGCCTTGGTTCTGGTTTGACAAAATTGGAATTGGTTGTAGTTATATGTTTAAATGAATTGGGGTGTCAAAACTGCTGATGACACTTGGTAGTTTATTAGGTCTTTTGTGGACTGGTCAACTAAAAGCAGTACTTCAACTACTGATGAGTTAGTAATATTTTTTTTGTTTCATTCCAGTATGCCAGTGATCCTTTAGGGTATGCTTTTCATGGAACTGGAATGCCCTTTGATATTATGATTACTTGTATACCTACAATATGATAGGATTTATTTGACACTCATCTAAGGATTAATGAGTCTTCTGTAAACTTTTATGACGTTTTTATTCTGGTTTTGACTTTAGAAGCTGACCAGAATGTGTTTGAATTCATGCAGAAATAATGTTGATATTTGGAACCCATGTCGAACTTCTATGAAGAAAGGGCAACGATGATTGCAGCCGGGGATTTGCAGGAATTTGTTCCTTTTGGTCGAGACCACTGCAAGCACCACCCTAATGCTTTGAACCTTCAACTTCGCCAGCTGCAGCCAGCCTCTGAGTTATGGTCTTCTGATGGTGCTGCTGGCTTGGTGGGATCCCTTCAGGAGGTTACAATCCACGAGAAACAGAAGGTTCCATTAAGTTTCCCATTACATTTTTGAAACATAGAGTGATGTGATCTATTTATAATTTAAGACTACTCAGATGCAACAGAAAGGAATATGATGCAACTTGTAGAGATTCAGATTTGGTAATTCCAATCAAGGCTAAAATAATGACATTATTGTATTATAGTGTCATAACTTTATTTAGACATGTGTAACTCATGGTGTCATAATGATTGTGAAGTTCAGTAGTATGATTATGGTCTATTATAAACCTCCTGTTCACTTAGTATGTAGAGACCAGATTTCATGTTATTTGATGAGTAGATGGTAGAGTTAGAAATGGTCCCTACTGCAAAAGACCTGCATGTTTCTAGAGGAGAAAAGAAATGCTACACAAGTAGATAGAGTAGTAATTCTTAAATAGGGGAATGAGATGCAAGTATGTATCAGAAGATCAGTCTTTCCTGCCTTATTCCCTTTTCCTATCCCTTTGTGATACCAAAATCTCAGAGAGGGAAGGTTTATGTAGTTAGAAATCTATAACCTTTCTGGCCCCTGCATGGCTCAGTTGGTTAAGTGACTGCCTTCGGCTCAGGTCATGATCCTGCAGTCCCAGGATTGAGTCCCAGGATCGAGTCCCAAATCGGGCTCCTTGCTCAGCAGGGAATCTGCTTCTCCCTCAGACCCTCCCCCTTCTCGTGCTCTCTCTCTCATTCTCTCTCTCTCAAATAAATAAATAAAATCTTAAAAACAACCTAAGAAATCTAAACCTTTCTTGTTCCCATTCATTTTGATGCGTAGGACAAAGGAAGGAAGGTGAGTGTATATGCAGTTGTGAAACAGGGAAATCTGCCTTATGCGTAAACTCCACCAGTGATTCCCATGTGTACCTCACTACTCCCTTTCCATCACCCCCACATATGCTTAATATACCTTTTTAGTGTCCCAAGTATGTTGGTTTTGTTCTATAGATAGGTACAATTTTTGTTTATATTTTTGGCAGAATAATGCATTATATGAGGCAGTTGATATATAGAGAATTTTTGAGTAAATTCTTGTACATGAAATCCTGTAAGATTTATAATACACACCCAGTCTGTTAATCATTGGCACCAGAGATTCTTAGAGTTGGGTTTGGAGTGAGTCGTACTCCATAGGCAGAGCAAGAGTAGGAGACTTGTATCTGGATGACCATTTGATTTAATTAATATTGCTCCATACTATTGAAAAAGGGAGTGCTTTAACCCTGTCTTACATTTATTAATTTTTAAGGAAAGCTGGCAGTTAAGGAAAGGCGTCAGTGAAATTGGAGAAGAAGTGGATTATGATGAGGAACTCTATGTGGCTGGAAATATGGTGATCTGGAGCAAAGGAAGTAAAAGCCAGGCATTGGCTGTTTATAAAGCGTTTACAGTTGACAGTCCTGTTCAACAGGTGAGTTGATTTGAATTTTAGCATTTAGTTGACTAACACTTTTTTAAAAAAAGCTTTTGTCTTAGAATTTAACAGAAATGATAAAAACATAGCTGAACGATCACAGCAGCTGGACGTATATTTTAAAATGTAGTGAAGATAATGGTAGGAAAATAAAAATGTCATTTGTTTTCTATATCCTCACTTTTTTTATACTGTCCTTTTGTCAGTTAAATGATGATCTTTAAACATTGTCCTTGATTAATTTGATTTATTGTCAATAAAAATTTGTAAGACATTACAAATTAAAATATTTTAACACATGATGATTTTAATTGCAGAGTATTGAATAAAAAAAATTGGGCTCAGAGTAATACTTGGAAAGGAAAAACATCTACTTTACTATCATTGTAGTTGGCTATTAAACCTAACTCTGTTCTGAAATTGGTAATTAAAGGGAAAGAATTAAGCATTTACCCTGCCTTTTTGGAAGACATGCAGTCCATCTCCAGTTAATGGAGGAAAACCCTTATTTGTAAAAATGCTAATGAATAAATAAGAAGGGAATGGTAGGATTAGAAAACCACCATTCTTAAATTTCCAGTGTAAACTCATTGAGACAATGATTGTAAATGGACACTAACACTGTTGGGTAAAAGGATGCGACCATGGCCCCAAGGTGTCACCCTGTGGCTTACTTGTTAACATGAAGGAACAAATATATCGCTACTTTGGAGATATCTGTTGCTCTCCACCTCAACCAAATTGATTTGAGTTTATTGTCACTGGTAGTGGGACAAAGGAGTAATACGCACCTCTGGCTGTAATGCAGCATGAAATACATGATGTCATCTACTAAGTTTTCTTCCCAGAAATACTTAACTTGAATATTTAGATCTAACTTTTAATTTTAGGAAATATGGGGACAAGAGGATCAATTTTTAAAATATCAGGAAATGAGGAGTGGGTTGGAGATATAAATGAAACAAGAATGGCCAAAGCTTGGTAATTATTGAAGCTGGCGGATGGGAATTCATTCCTATTCTGTTTACTTAATACATATTTGAAACTTCCCATAATAAAAAGTTTAAAGAAAAAACACTGAGAAAACAGTTGGGACAGTCTACATTCTGGTCTCTTTAAAAAGTCAGGGAGAAAAAAAAAGGGAGAAAGAGAAGGTGGGGACTGCTCTAGATTAAAAAATAGTAAAGGGACATCAAATGCAATAGTTTTTGAAACTTGTTAAATGAACTTTGAATCCTGGTTCTAGAATATCAGCTAAAAAAGACATTTTTTGGGAAAATTTGCAAAACTTGCAAATGGACTGGATATAAGGTGATGTTAATTTTTCTAAAGATTTTTTCTAAAATGAGTCTAGGAGAGTCTGAGAATGATAAGATTATTGGGTAAGTCTGGAGATTATGAAATAGCTTGGCGATTTTGAACTCTTCTAACTCTTTGGCTTTCTAAAACTTACTTGCATGGGGCGCCTGGGTGGCTCAGTCAGTAAGCGTCTGCCTTTGGCTCAGGTCGTGATCCCAGAGTCCTGGGATCGAGCCCCACATCCCCACATCAGCCCCACATCCCCACATCAGCCCCACATCCCCACATCGGGCTCCCTGCTTGGCGGGAAGCCTGCTTCTCCCTCCCCCTTTGCTGCTCCCCTGCTTCTGTTCCGTCTCTCCCTCTCTATCAAATAAATAAATAAAATCTTTAAAATAAAACTTATTTGCAAACATAGTTTGTCTTTCCTTATAATATTTATCATTAATCTGCTTTTGTTTTATTCATTTTTGTTCCCATGGTATGTGTATTGAGCTCATAAGGAGGGACAGGTATTATGTAGGTGTCATTGTTACTAGTCAGATGCCGTCAGTGAATAGGTTATTATTTAGATACAATTTTCTCAGGTAAGCGTTTTGTTTTGATTTTAGGCACTGTGGTGTGACTTCATCATATCACAGGATAAGTCTGAGAAGGCCTACAGTAAGTTTCTTTTTGAAATCTTATTTCATCTTACTCCAAATGTTTATCTCCTTGTTTTTTTTGTTGTTCAAAATAAGTAGCCACTAGTAATAGTGATTTAGCCTAAGCATTTTTTTTATGGTACATTAAAGAATTTGTGCTGTTGGGAATTGCGGTTTGTGATTGTTGAGATTTTTTTTTTTTTTTTAAATGCATAAATCTTGTTGTACCCTTTCTTTTCAGGTAGTGAAGAAGTAGAAAAATGCATATGTATACTGCAAAGCTCATGTATTAACATGCATAGCATAGAAGGAAAGGATTACATAGCTTCTTTACCTTTTCAGGTAAATTGAGTATTTCACTGTTTTTGTGTTTTGTTGTAGAAGTATTGCTGTTATGCTTTGTAGTAATCAAGAATGTCATTTTTATTCAAATAACTTTATATTTGAAAAAGAATAAATTTAAAATAAAATTTGAATAAAATATACATTAAAATAAAACAAAATTTATTCAAATTCTAAGTTTTAATCCTTACCATTTTTCCATCCTTTGCATAAAAAATAAATTATTTAATGAAGTGAATTATGGAGTTTTTTCCTGAGAGATTTTTTTCAGTTATAAAAAGAAATCATTTTGGAATATTAAAGCACATGAAAAAGATTAGTCTTTTTCCTGTTTCTCATCATCTTTTTTATACCTAGTGCTATTGTTAAAATTTCATCACATTGTCATTTTGGTACTGTTATTAGCCAGTGGCAGGAATTTCTGATTGAACTCTTTCTTAGATTTGATTTTGTCTTGGACTTTAAAAAAATATTGCTAACGATCACATTGTTTTGTAAAGCTTTAAGTCGGAAGAAAATCTAATGTTTTATGGTTTCCTAAGCACATGCTGTAAAGAGTAGTTTCTTTTACTTCTGTTTTTTCCTGTCCTTTTACCTGATAGGTTGCTAATGTTTGGCCCACCAAATATGGATTGTTGTTTGAACGAAGCAGTTCTACACATGAGGTACCTCCAGGTCCACCCAGGTATTCATTTTACTAGGTTCAGTTTATTATTATTTGGGCTTTTTTGGTGTTGGTTTTGAGGTAAAGATGTTTACCTAAAAGTTTGGGATGATGATCATTTCCATGCTAACAGCACAGATAAATGCCATTTTCTCTCATCTCAGTATTGTACACTTAGGAGGTCTACTTCTGACTTGACAATTATCTACTGCTTCCCTCCTCTCCTCCATAGTAAAATTAAATGAACACATACTTACGGATATAAAGACTGTTCTTAGAGCTGTCATTGTTTCATTGTGTTACTTTGGGCAAGTCATTAGAGCTTTCTTGGCTTCAGTTTCCTTATCTGTTACAGAAGTACTATCATTTATCTTTTAGGATTTATGCAAAGATTAAATAAGCTGATGTATGCAATCTTTGACATAGAACTTAGTACATGTTAGATGCACAATAAATGGTAGATGCTTATTGGTAGCGTGTTTACCTTGTGTCCCTAATAAATTGTGAGCTCATCGAAGGGCAGGAACATATAGTACCTGTCATAGTCTGGTGCAAGTAGTAGACACTGTTTTTAAAAAATTGCTTATAGATTTAATCTTTCTGTGTTTAGATAGAAGGCCTGTTTTTTCTCCTTTTTTAATCACTCCTTAAAAAAATGCAGCCTTTTTATTTACTTGAAATTTTTCTTCCCTTTTTTTTGACACTTTTTTGTAAATGTATGTAGGACACTAAATTTCTTTCTTAGCTGCTAAAGACACACTGCCACTAAGAGAGGTTTAAAAAAAACCAAAAACTGCCTTATGGTTATTACTCCATTGGCTCTGTAATGTGATGATTGCTATTTGTAGAGATTCCCTGGGCTGTATTGATTTTCCTGTGTGTGTGTGCATGCATAGAATTACCGTGCACAAGAAGAGATATTTCCAGGAATGAAATAGAAGATACTGTGAAAAATAGTATGTAAAAAGTTTAGAGGCTTGCTTTATGAGATGGTAGATTTGTAGTTGCTTGTATAATCTGAAGAAGATATTTCTTTGCAAAGAAAGTGCAAAATTTACACACAAATGGAATCATTTTGTGTTGGTGATTGGCTGATTATTTGTTTATTACTAGAGAACCTTTACCCACTATGTTCAGCATGCTGCATCCACTGGATGAAATAACCCCACTTGTTTGTAAATCTGGAAGTAAGTGTATTTTTATAAATTCTTTCATATAAGCTCTTTTTTTAAGTTTGGGGGATAGGAGGAAATGAAGGAGCTTTGTGAAAATTGGGCTTGTTTTATAGAAATAATGTAGTTTAAACATTTTTATTATGAAAATTTATATTAAAGCAAGAACTTCTTGAATACCATGGTATTAACTGTTTTCATAGTTATTCTTTTATTAAAAATAGGGCCTATAATCAATCAGGAACATTGATATATTCACTAACCTATCTGTAGATGACTCTACAGATGACTACTCCTCAGTAATAAGTAAATGAACAATACTTAGATGAACTAAAATTGTTTTTTGTTGTTGAAGAAAAGTGTAGGTTCTTAGGCCTGTACTGTGTAAATTTTAATAATTCATTTTCTTGTTTATAATAAAATAATTTGCTGAGATGCAGAACTTTAATATTTCCTACAGGTATTTCTAGATACTGATCTTAAAAATTTAAATGTGGCCAAACATGATAGGTGATTATAAATAATGAGGACTTGAAAACTGAAAAAAAAAAAGTTTATATTTTTTGACCAATTTTACTTGTAGGACTTTATCCCAAGCACATATTCTGAAATTCCACTGAGGTTTTAATCTTCTGTATCGGGGCTTGGCAAACTACAGCCCATGGGCTAAATCCAGCCAACAGCTTGTTTTTGTATGGCTTATGAGCTAAGAATGGTTTTTATCTTTTTAAAGGGTTGTAGAAAAAAACATTATATGACAGTCATTATGTGGTCCACAAAGCCTAAGCTATTTATTCTCTGGCCTTTTACAGGAAAGTTTGTTGATAATTCTGTATTATATTGGTAACAATTACAGACAACCTAAATAAACATGTTAGAGCCTATGACTGAATGGTGTGAAGCATTATTGATGACGTTTTTGAATACTATTTAATGACCTTAGGAATTGCTTATTCATAATGTTAAGTAGAATATAAAACTGAATACAGTGATTCTAATTTTGTAAAGGCATAAAAAGTGTATGTATACGTGTAGGAAAAAAACACTAGAAGGAATACTCCCTAATACATTAATTGTGGATATTTTGAGATGGTGGAATTATGAGTGATTTTTATTCATTTCTTTAAAAAATACCTTTTATTTTTGTAAGATAATTATTTAAAATTAAAAAAATATTTTAACTGAGAGGGAAGCATTTAGGAAGCTGTCAGATAAGGTTATAGAAATCAGTTCATGGTACTATAGGAGTAAAAGCTAAACTGACTAGGAAGAATTTATTTTGCATGTATACTCAGTAAATAGTGTACTGTTCAACTCTGTTTGAATAGTTATTATAGAGGACAGATTTCATACAGAAGAAAAACAGTCAAGAGGTCAAACTTGGCAGAATAGTCGATTGCAGTTTATAGATCAGTCATTTGTTGAGTAGTCACAGACCTCCCAGTGGCCGATGGGACAGTGAGTCAGCACACATCTTCAACATGTAATTGCATGTATGTGAAATGGAAACTGGTAATGTATTCTTATCTTTATGTATTTTGAGGAAGTTGATGCCCAAAGTAAACTTAAAAATTCAGGGTAATTATATATTAGTGGATTTTGTGTCTTAATTGGCTGTGTTTCTCTTTGGGAATTATAGAAAGTCATTTCATTAAAGAACTGTCTTGTGAAGTTCATTGTTCAATACCTGATCGTTACTATTTTATCTTTAAGGTCTTTTTGGTTCATCAAGGGTGCAATATGTTGTAGATCATGCAATGAAAATTGTTTTTCTCAACACTGACCCCTCCATTATAATGACCTATGACACTGTTCAATGTTTGCATTCTGTGTGGGCTCTCCGGAGAGTCAAAACAGAGGTAAGGATAAAGGCAAGTCACTTCTTAGTATGAAAGGATAGTTAACACTGAAAGCTTTCACATGTATTTGGAAGAATCATTTGTGAAATGCATTGAGCTTCTTAGGAAAAAAGAAATATTGTGTCTTTAATAACTGGCTTCTACCCTGAATTCTCACCAGGAAATTACCCTTTTAATCTAATTATTGCCTTTTTTTCCCCCCTTCTCATCATTTTGACTTAAGGAAGAGAATGTTGTCTTAAAGTTCTCTGAACAGGGGGGAACCCCACAGAATGTGGCCAGTAGTAGCTCCCTCACAGCACACCTCAGAAGCCTCTCCAAAGGAGATTCCCCCGTGGCTTCACCTTTCCAGAATTACTCCTCCATTCACAGTCAGAGTCGCTCGACCTCCTCACCCAGTCTACACTCTCGTTCACCTTCTATTTCCAACATGGCAGCTCTAAGGTGGGAATTAAGTGTGGAAGTGTTTCCTTATTTTAAACAAGATATCCCAAGAAAGAGATACCTTCTTTTCAAACTTGCGCTCTATGTTTTGAAGCATTTAAAATCTCTGTTGACAGCTCTTGGGTATTTTTTTAGGGAAAACAGCGATTATCCCAGTTGTATTACTAAGTAAAGTTTTTTTAAATGAGTCCTATTTAGAAGCTGCCTCTGCTTGTCATAAGATTGGTTGCCTCATTTCCATCACTAAGTGGCAGCAATTTGATGAATATTAATTTCAAAAATATTTTGGTTTTTCTTTTCTTCCTTTCTTTTTTTTGGTCTTTGCATTAACTTTTTCATTTTTATTAGTATCTGTCTGGTAATATGGGAACATAGTTTTGTTGGTATGTATATATCTGAATATATAGGAATGTAGTTTGGACTTTTTTGAATAATAAAAACAATTCATGTTCTGAGGCAGAAAATGAACTAATTTTCAGTTTTAAAATTAAAGGATGAATTCTAACAAGAATTGTAAATCTTTAGAATGTAATAAAACACATTAATGTGAACGATTTAAGTAGTTATTCCCTTTTAAAAAAATGTATTTCTGATTGGGATTATACCATGAATGCACTTGGTACATAGAGTTTTAGAAAGTATGATTGGAAAGCATGTTCCGTCAGCCTGCCTTGTTAATTGTGATGCCCTCTCTCTGTTTATTTTGCAGTCGTGCTCATTCTCCCGCCTTAGGAGTGCACTCTTTCTCAGGGGTGCAGAGGTTTAACCTTTCAAGCCATAATCAGTCTCCAAAGAGACATAGTGTTTCTCATTCTCCAAGTAGTAATTCTAATGGCTCCTTCCTTGCACCAGAAACAGAGCCAATTGTTCCTGAACTTTGTATTGACCATTTATGGACAGAAACGATTACTAATATAAGGTTTGGGATATATATTTTTATATTCAAAGAAAAATGTTGGTAAAAGTTTTAGAAAATACTTGGTGTTTTGCTTAGAGTTTCCTTTTAATCTTTTAATATAATCAGTTTATAAAACTACAGAGATAAATATTAAGGATACCTGAGTTTCAATAGAGGATATTAATGATATTAAAGTGATTATAAAAGTATTCTTTTATCATTTCCTATTTCTTCTTTCGTAGTAAGAATCTCTCAGATATGAGGTGTTTGATGTTTTAAGGAGAAACAACTAGATCAAGAAACTTGGGGTTTTATAGCATTTTTTAAAAATTTTATCTTTACGTTAGTTGAGTGTCAGCTGTTGTTTTTGGGAAATGCAGCTCAGACCTCTGTTCTGTGTGGCCTTTCTCCTTTTATGTTCTCTTTGATCATTCAGCCAGTTCCAGTGCATGTGCTAGTGGCTGTGGGTTACAGGCAAATTCGTCACTGTCCCTGTCCTCAAAAAGAGACAGCTGAAGATGGTGACACAGAGGCACTGCCTACTCTGCTGGTAGGGCTTTGGAAAGATGAATAGGTATTTGCTGGGTAGGAAAGGGAAGAAGGGCACAGTAGGCAGGATGATCAGAACAGAAGTTCAGAAGTGTGAGTGTGTGATACGTACAAATACTCTCGCTTTGCTTACGTTGGAAGGAAAGGCAAGGGTTAAGAAAGGGGAGGCTTGAGAGAGAGATTGCCCTTTAGGGCTGTGCTATTTGATGAGGGCTGTTAAGGTGCTTTATATGTGGGTCATAAACTTAGGGGAAAGAGCAGAGCAATAAATGTGGGAGTTGTTGGCTTGTAAGTGGTGATTGAGGCAAGGGAGGTGGATTGGAAGTTAAGGAGTGTGTAGACGTTGGGTTCCTGGAGGGCCTGTGGATGAGCTTGCAGTTGCAGAGGTTCTAGTAACATAGCATCATGCAGTAATCATGTGCATGTTAGTTTATAAGGACTTTTCCTAAGGAGAGGGTTTTACATTCATTAGATTCTCATAGGGGGTCTGAGACCTCCAAATAATTGATCTGGCAGTGTAGAGTTGAAGAGAGCTAGGGACTGAAGTCTTAGAAACTTAAGCTTTTGGGGATAAAAAGAGAAAAGAGACAAAGCTGCTATAGGGAGACAGAGCAGGAGAGCTCAGGTGTGAGAAGCAGCATAAGTGTCATGGGACATTGGAGAAGAGAACATTTCAAAAAGAAAGCTGCCAGTGTTGCCAGGTGCTGGTGAGGTGTGGCACTAAGCAATGAGCTCGGAAAGGAGGTACCCGGATGGCAGTGAGTTCACTGGTGACCTTGGCCAGAGCACTTGGGGGAGGGGCTGTGGAGTGGAATGGGGTGGAAGATGTGAATGGGGACTGAGGAAGCGAACATTGACATGTGGATTATTTTATGGATTGCCTTTGATTGGGGATGAGGATGCAAAATTAGAGGGAGTCTCAGGGTCAAGGGAGAGTTTTGTTATTGCTGAATTACATTAGAGAAAATTAGTCTTCGTGACTAAATACCTCAGTGCGTATCTCTAAAATGTAAGGACATCTTACCTAACCACAAGGCCATTTTTACACCCAGCCAATTAACAGTAAGTCCTTTATATCATTTATTATTCAGTCCATCTTTATATTTGAAGATTTTTATCTTAATATGAGAGAGTAGGCTGCAAGGACCATACTCAGTGTAGGGAAAGCATCAAAAATACAGGAGAGAGGAAATGATGGATAGAACGAGGAACCAGAAAGGAGCACAAGTGGAGAGATTAGCCTTCAGGAGAAAGACAAAAGACAGTGATGGTTATTAGATACATAGGGCAGGAGGTTGGACTCAAGCCTTATAGCTGTATTTTCTCTGTGATGCAGAAGGCAAATAAATACATGTTCTTAGGGGCTAGGGGATAGGTATAGTTGGAGGAAAGTAAAGCTGTGAATACAGTGTTGAGGTAGCTTCTCTGTTTTTGTTCCTCATAAATAAAATAAGAATTTCCTACATTTAAAAATCATTTGTCTTTAAATATCTCTTGGTAAATTGACTATATTACAGATTCTTATATTACAGAATTATGGTCTTCTGTACCACTCCAGAAAGAAATCTTTGGAAATTAGAGATGGTTTCAGAAAGAGGGATGAAGTAGAGCCTAATCTGCGAGAGAGAGGATGGATAGGAGAGGTCATGTTATAAGAGGTCTGATCCCTTACATCCTTTAAGGAGTAGGAATTCAAGTTTGCAGCTTTAGCAGTACGTAACTTTACTAATATGGAATTAAAAAGGTCATTGATAATGATTAAATTTCTTATAATTTATCCCCTAAAAAGCTGTGGAATGGACTCAGAATCAAAGAACTGAAAGGAATCTCAGAGATCCTGAAGATCCAATCTTAGAAGTGTTGTGAGGTCTTCAGTGTTAATGCTTGGCCCAAGTAGTTTTAAGATTTCTTGCAGGATAGTTTCATTAAGAGTTATTGTGGCAGATTTTGGAACTAATGCTGACAGTTATTTTATTAATGTATCTGCTACAGAGAGAAAAATTCACAGACCTCAAAAGTGTTTATTACATCTGACCTATGTGGGCAGAAGTTCTTGTGCTTTTTAGTGGAGTCTGAGCTCCAGTTGCGGTAAGTGTGCATACTTCCTTTGATTCTGTGTCAACAAACGTAGGGCTGCTTTTTCTTTTTTTCTTTTTTTGACTTAAGTAGCTTTATTGAAATAATTTACATGCCAAAAAATTGACATGTTTTAAGTGTATAATTATTTTTAGTAAAATTACAGAGTTAATGCCACCATCACTACAATCTGGTTTTATAACATTTCTGTCCCCCTGAAAAGATCCCTGTGTTTGATTGGCAGTCAGTCTCTCTTCTGATTCCCAACCTCAGGTAACCACTCTGTATATAGGCTTTCTGCCTAGGAGATTTGCCTTTTCCAGAGATGTTATAAAATCATACAAAATGTAGGTTTTGTGTGGCTAGCTTCTTTCATTTAGCATAATGTTTTTTAGGATCCACCATGTTGTAACATGTATGAGTGCTTTATTCCTCTTGCAGTGTAGTAGCCCATTATGTAGATACACCACATTATGTTTATCCATTCATCTGTTGATGGACATTTGGTTTCCACTTTTTGACCATAGTGAGTTATGGCCCTATGAACATTGGAGCAGAAGTCTTTGTGTGGACATACATGATTTCTTTTTTTTTAATATTTTTTTTATTTATTTGACGGAGAGACAGTGAGAGAGGGAACACAAGCAGGGCGAGTGGGAGAGGGAGAAGCAGGCTTCCTGCGGGGCAGGGAGCCCGATGCGGGGCTCAATCACAGGACCCTGGGATCATGACCTGAGCCGAAGGCAGACACTTAACGACTGAGCCATCCAGGCGCCCCTGATTTCTTTTTTCTTGAGGAGATATCTAAGAGTGTAAAGGTTAATTGTTGGGTTGAACAGTATATTCATGTTTAACTTTTTAAGAAGTTGCCAAACTGTTTTCCAAATAGGCTACATCCTTTTATATTCCCACTGGCAATCTATGAGAGTTCCAGTTTCTTTATCGTGTTGTCTGTCTCTTTGTAGCCATTCTAGTGGGTGTGAAGTGTTTTTAATTTGCATTTCCGTAATGACTTATGATGTTGAGCATCTTCCCATGTTCTTACTGGCCAGTCATTTATCTTTTTAGGTAAAAATGATCTTTTGTCCACTTCTTTACCTTTTTATTTTGAAATAATTATAAAACACAGGCAGTTGCAAAATAGTAGGGGGATGGTCCTGTGTACCCTGCACTCTTTATCCCCCAGAGGTAACATCTTATATAATTATAGTACATTATCAAAACAAGAAAATTGACACCAGTACAATCCACACACCTTATTCAGATTTCATCAGTTTTACATGTCCTCATTTGTGTGTGTTTATATGATTCCATGAAGTTTTCTCATGTGTAGATTTGTGCAAACACCACAGTCAAGATATAGAACTTCTTATTACCTCAAAGATGTCCCTCATGGCTACTCCTTTATAGTCCCATACACTAAACCCACCCACCCCCATCCCTAACCCCTAGCGACCACTAATCTGTTCTCCATTTTTATAATTTTGTCATTTGAAAATGTTATAAAATGGAATCATACAATATGTAATCTTTCAAAATTGGCTTTTCCCCGTCAGCATAATACCTCTGAGATCACTATAAGTTGTTGGACATATCAGTAGTTTGTTTCTCTTTTTATTTTAATATTTAGCTGTGTAAAATTTCAAGAGAGTAATGATAAAACTCAGCTCATCTTTGGCTCCATCACCAACATACACGCAAAGGATGCAGCGCCAGTGGAGGTAAATGCAGGCACATTTCTTGAGAAGTTGAAAATCATTATGTTTTATAATTTGCACAGATTGGCAAATAAAATTTTTGTCTTTCTCTCAGAAGATAGATACCATGCTGGTCCTTGAAGGCAGTGGAAACCTGGTGCTGTACACAGGAGTGGTTCGGGTAAGTAGTAAGTAGCATTTCATCCTTTTGTAGGACCACCTCCTTGATATTATTATTATTTTTAAACATTCTTTTTTTAAAGATTTTATTTACTTATTTGACAGAGCGTGAACACAAGCAGGGGAAGTGGCAGGCAGGGGGAGAGGCAGAAGCAGGCTCCCTACTAAGCAGAGAGCCAAACTCAGGGCTTGGTCTCAGGACGCTGGGAGCATGATCTGAGCAGAAGGGAGACACTTAACTGACTGAGCCACCCAGGCGCCCCTGATTTTTTTTTTTTTTTAATGTGTAGTCTAATATTTAATATTAGTGACCCCCTGGCTGTAGGATTTGGCAGAAGATTTTTCTAAGAGTTGAAAATGAAGTCTCTAGTTTAGCTTGGTCCCAATTTGGAGGCCTAGGACTCACTGCCATGAGATGGATTGGTGCTATCTGGCACAGATGGGGAATCATTAATGAATATAGGTAGATTATTAAAAAAAAAAAGTTAACCTAAAGTTTTATAAAGAATGTAGTTTTGAAATTGATGTATGGGTACTTTGTTAAGTCTCAAAGTTTTTGTAAAGTTTCATTAAATGTGTAATATGTTGACCATATAGTTTTTTTTTTTTAACAGTTTTGGAATTTACATACAGAATTATGTAAATTTAAAAAGTTTAAATTGTGGAATTTAAATACATAAACACAATTCAAAGACTAATGAAGTGACCTTTCCTATGACCACTGCCAGGTTAAGAACTAGAACACTGGCAGTATCTTTATAGTCTGTGGGGTGCTGTTTCCTTACTGTATCCTCATCTCCCTGTCTCCCCCTGGATAGACACTGTCCTGGCTTTTTGCAGTAAATCTTGTTTTTATTACAAGCCTTTTTGCAATTATGTACATGTCACTAAGGAGTACGTTGTTTAATTTTCCTTAAATTTGAATTTTTATATAAAGGAAATCATACCATATGGTCTTCTCTGGACTTCATTATTTTGCTCAACATTTTTACTATTTTTAGATTTATTTATGTCCATGTGTAGCTGTTGTTTATTCATTCACTGTTCTGTAGTAGTCCGTTGTATGGTTATACCAAAATTTTTACCATTTTATCATCACTGGGGATGTTTATGTTGCTTCTACTGTTTCCTCTGGTAATGCTTTAAAAAATTCTTAAACACGTCTCTTAACCTTCAGAGTATATGCATATTCAACTTGGTCATGGCCGGGGAGTGGGGGTGCCAAATTGTCTTCTAAGGTGTAGGTTGTACCAGTTTACAACATCTCCCCTTACTTCTTGCCTTCAACAGTGTATGAGAGTTCCGAATGCTGCTTTATGTAAAATTCTTGTGAATCCATAGTACTATTCGTTTTTCTTCTCCCCCCATCCCCCCAAATTGGTGCCTTGTTAAAGCCAGGTGAGAATGGAAGTCTAGGCTCTCCATGTGGCCTTTGCTGACAGGACTGAGAGGTGGGACACAGTTTTTCCCATGGTGTTTGTCTGGAGTATATCGCTTATTGTCTAAAAGTTTTTGATCTTGTTAAGCTATTCCTTTCCTGATTTTTTTGGCCAAGGAGAGAGGTATTTCTGGGGCCTGTTTTTTTTGTCTGCTCTCTTAATGAGATTGTGGTCTCCCCCAACTTCTTTGCTACCCAGACGCCAGCCTAAGAACTGAATGGTGGTAGAGATCATTGTTTAGTTCTCAGATCTTTTACTGTGTCATTGTTGGTCAGTTTCACACATAGTTCACTCAGAGGCCTGCCCAGGATTTCATACACATATTTAAGAAGTCCTTTTCTTACATCCTTTCCATTCTTCCTCTAACTCCCTAGGTGGGACAGAGAGGGGTTACTGCCTTGTTATTGCAGGGTGGGGATGGAACACAGCACTCCCTCCACTCATAATTTCTGTGGAGGACAGAAGGGAAGAGGTATGCTGCCTTATTACTGTAGAGTAAGGATGAAAGCCAGTGTTCCTCCCCCTTCATAGCTTTTGCACACCATGGGGAGGTGCAGAGGGGCTGCCTCTTGGCAATGAAAGCAGCAGTGCTCTGTTCATAGTCTCTGCACCTGCAGTGCCTGATGAAGAGGGGAGGAGATACCACCTAGTTACCACAGTGCGAAATAGGCCTGGCCCACAGTCCCTGTGCTCGGGGAGGGATGCCACCTACTCGTAGAGGGAATGATAGAACTCTGCCCATAGTCTCCAGGCCACAGCTCCTGATATGGAGGAAACTGAGGGCCATGGCTTTTTTCCTAGTGTTTCCTGGAGTGGGGCAGGTATGGTGAAGATGTCTCTGTCTTGCTTGGTCCCTCTTTTCCTGACACTTTGTCTAAAAAGAGCAAGGTTTCTCTTGGTTTGCACCTGTGGCCATTTCTGGGTTGTAGGCCCCTTGAGAGCTCAAGAACTGGTTATGGAAAGAGTGAAAGAAACAAAAACACCTAGGGAATTCATCATATATAGGGTGCTGTTTCCTTACTGCATCCTGGTTCTCACGTCTCTAGCCGGTGTCTTCTTTTCCTCACCTTTCAGAGTCTTCCACTACATTATAAATTTTGTGCAGATTCCATTGTAAATAGTGGGAAGAATAGCACAAAATGTGCTTACTCCATATTTTCATTAACTGGAGGTCTCTCGTAGCTTATTTTATTTCATTTTTTTTTTAAAGATTTTATTTATTTATTTGAGAGAGAGAGAATGAGAGACAGAGAGCATGAGAGGGAGGAGGGTCAGAGGGAGAAGCAG